ATATATATATATATATATACCCACATATATATATATATATATATATACACACATTTTTTTTTTTCCTCCCAGGCTCTGATCGAGGTGGCTTCTTCTGTTTTTTCCTCCCCCGTCTTCCTTTTTCCTGCACTGTTCTCTGTCTGTCTGATGCACCTGGGTCTCATCTCCCGAACATAAATTACGAAGTTTATGGATTTGGTATCGTGGGCGTTCAACTCTATTGACAAGATTTTTTCACCAAAGCGACAAGGTCCTGGAGAACCAGCGTGTCCAGCTGAGACTCACGCTGTGGGGTACGTCATGGATTTGTGGGGAGTGTGGCAGATGATTTGTCTATCAGTCCTGTCTCAGGAGGATGTTGAAGACGTTTATATATTTGGAATTATGATAGCAGGGACTCTGCTTTTTGGCATCGGCGGGGCTCTGTTTTATCGACTTTTGAAGAAGACATTGGCAGTTTTTTCGGCCATGAGAAAGCTTCCGAGTCAATGTCAAGGACTGGTGTGGGAACTTTGAATTGTCTGGTTTACGAGCTTAACCGTAAGGTGGAGGCGATTGCGAATCGCAGGCCACCTGCGGCTTGTGGGACTCGTCAACGTGGTTGGTTCGACCTTGAAGGAGACTAATAGCATGTATCGGTGGAATGGAATCCCACAATTAGGCATTTTCGGAACCAGAACGCCCAGATGGACTCAAGGCTGAAGAAAAAAGTAATCTGTCTGCCTGAAGAAAAAACAAGAATCAAGCTTATCCAAATCAGACTCCTGACGGCTTCGGAGACAGGCCGACTATCAATTTCTCCTGGGACATGAGTACCTAAGGACAAAAGCTTCATCTATCACCCCCGAGGACTTTCTGTGCAAGCTTATCAGAACTGCTGGCTGGAACAACATCTTTAGAAACTGTGGCTGATCTGAAAAAACGCTCATGGACAAATCTCAACACCTCGATGTCAAATGCAAACGTAATCATGTTTTAATTGTGGTGCTGGTAGAGTTTTTTGATGTCTCAAATCGTGTCCTGATAGTCAAGATGTGAAAGATCTTTTTTTGTAATACCACTATCTACCCTCATGTTTATACCCCTTTTCCTATCTAAGATTATTATCTGATAAGGATAAGAAGGCTGCTCTTTCTACAGTTGCAGCTTCGTGCACTCCGCCCATCTTTCGGACGGCTGTACGTACATATTCGCGTTGTACCTCGGTGCAATTCCAATAAAGTTTGTTCTGATTCTGATTCTGATATATGTGTATATACGTGTGTATATGTGTGTGTGTATGTGTATAAATATATTTGTGTGTATATGTGTGTATATATATATGTATGCGTGTATATGTGTGTGTATATATATATATATATATATATATATATATATATATATATATATACATTATAGTATTTTTTTTTTTCATTCATCCTTTATTTAAACAGATAAATCACATTGAGCCGCAAAGACTCATTTACAAGTGAGACCTGTTTGGACAGACAATAAAAGTGATAAACTGGACACATGTAAGAGTTGGAGGTGAAAAAAATTCCTATCAGACTTTTTTTTTCCTGCCTGAGAAAAAAAACCCATTAAAAAACACCTTGCACAAACAAGCACATAGTGACGTAGACATTCTGCAGAGGGGAGACGACGAGGACGGTCAGCATGATCGTAGACGCTCTCGAGGTCATTGTAAGAGTTATGATAAAGATGTAATAATCAGCCAGTGTCCTCCGGTGAGATCCATAAACATTCTCGAGTGATGTCGAGGAATGGCCAAGAATAACATTTATGAAAATCCAAGAGTCCTGAAATGATGACACAAGTTTATTCATCTGGTTTCATCTGATTATCAGTTGGAAATTCTTCAGGGAGGGGGTGAGCGTCAGATCACATGTTCTCCAGGCGAATTCAGATAATTTGGCCTTAAAGGCCAGCCAAGGGAGCCAAATTCAGATAAACACAGTTGTTTTGGGGACAGGCAGAACTTAATGACATCTGCCTAGAGTCTGTGTTGTCGACTCGGTTCCAAAATGTCCAAAATACATGGCCACACCGATGGAATGTGACTGAGTAAAATCCTAGAGATCTGATCCATTCAGCCTAAAGCATTTGAGTCTGGGTACTCGAGGCATGAACCAAGCCATCATAAATGCAAGCAGCGTGATCGGGTCCAAATTTGCTGCCGACGACTTCCTTGACTGTTGATAAAACCAGCAACCAGCCGAATCCAAAAAGCAGGAACCAGTTATTGTAAATCCAATTAAATATGCGTCTTTAAAATCCACAAATGGCAGCAGAGATAGACACATCATCAAGTCTTCCAAGTCGATGAGATATCCAGCTGCGTGCCAACAGGGCAAATCGGCTCGCCTAAAAGCCTGTCTTCTCTTTGAAGAAATGTTGTAAATTGAGTTGAGGGACCAACTGATCAAAACAAGTCCAAAATTATGAAAAATCAAGGCAGGAAAAGGTTACAGCCACAGCGCTGGCCAGTCCGGTCTATTATGCGATCATAAACCAGAAGGGCAGATGTCCCTTGTCATTACTGATTTATTGGGCTTAGACTCCTCCTTCGCAGAAGGGGAGCTCAACCTGTCAGTATATGAGGGGGCGTAACTAAATTTAATCTCAAAGATCTTATGTGATTTTGACGTGTAAGGAAATATGAGACTGTGCTTCAAAAGCCTTTCTACGTGATGTGGCAAGCAGAAATAAACTCTGTTCCTTAACGGATATTGAATCCCTGGGAGACTCTTTTTAGAGTTGCTGGCCCAGTTTAACTAACTCAGAACCAGGTCATAATTTCAATATAATCCCGTCTCTGAGCAGCTCAAAATCCCAGGACCAGTCTAGATAAATATCTAACAGTTCTGTCAGAAAGGTAGGATCTAAACCATTTGATGGCTGACCCTGTGATGCCCACCCACCTCCAGCCTAGAAATGAGGATTCCATGGTCGATGGCTAGGAAAATGTCATCTAACCAGGATAATCACTGTGAAAAATCGCATCATGTTGCTGCTGATCTGTTTCTTGTTGATGTGTTCATGCGTGCTCATCTGCTCACACAGACTCATGTTCATGTTTGTGCTGCTGTTCGACGTAATGTTTTTATGTTATGAGTGCTTAGTGTATATTTAGTTGATGCTTTTTCTTAGTTCATATCTTTGATCTTATTACTATTTTTCTTTTACATTTTATTGTTGGATGTAACTGGGACCCTGCGTACATAATCTCGTTCCACCACATGCACCACATGAGGTGCGAATGATAAATAAATCTCTCTGACTCAATAGAGCAGTCTCAGTGCTGGGGGAGCACTGAGTGCAGGAGGAGGGCGCTCCGCATCATGAAGGACTCCACTCATCCTGCACACAGTCTGTTCCAGTCCCTCCCCTCAAGCAAGTGGCTGAGGAGCGTTCAGAGCAAGACCACCAGGCTCAGAAACAAGTTTCTTCCCTGCAGCTGTCAGACTGCTGAACTCGAGCTGCACTTAATTCAGCTTCATCTTACATGTTTTTTTAACTTTATTTATTATATATATTTCTACTCTTTTGTATTTATTTATTTATTAATTGTTAGGCTTCTTGATTTGGGACTTGAGTCTGAATTTTATACCACAAACATGCAAATGGGAGCTGGTATGACAATAAAAAAAATCCTTGAATCCTTGAAAATTGGCTGTTTTGCTAACTCTGGCATATTTACATTGATGCTTACTGCTGACATGTTGATGAATATGCATTGTCCTAATTTAAATAAATAAATGTAATGACTAGCCCAAGAAATATGGTATATGGATACTAAAATAAATATAGCGTTCCTACTTCACTGTTTTTCACCTATCACAGGAGTGTGTGGACCATATCCCCTACGATAATCGAGGGACCACTGTAATCGGATTGACCACACAAAGATATCAGATCAGCGCAAAAAAATCCGATTTGAGCATTAAGATCTGCAATGTGAACATAGCCTTAGCATCACAGAGAGTTGAAAGGATCAGGTCTTCAGTAACTGTGTTATTGTCTGAAAGGGAGCTGACAGAGGCGGCCTATGAGAAGCTGGCAGATGAGACTCTGGACGCACTGGCTGAGTATTTTGAAGACCTGGCAGATGAAGATTTCACTGGAGCAGACTATGATGTGGTTTTCGCTGTAAGTTTTATATCTGACGTCATGTAGGAACATCTTTGTGATGCTCAGGGGTTTTCACGGAGCTAATTGGAACATGTGTCGTTTTATTGGTGTTCTTAAAGAACGAGTGGATCTGCACACCAGAGTAATCAAAAACCTATTCAAGAATCAAGTCATAAATAACCATTTTGAGTACTATTTATACTTGCACACAAGAAACTACACACTCCATTACTATAAAGAGTTAAAAAAGTAATGGAGAAACCAGACGATACAAAGTCTGGAAGAAATACATGAGATAAAATCATGGGAACACAACAAAGTTGTCTCAGGGCACTTTACAGGAACATTCACATAAAAGCCAATTAGTAAAGTTCTCTATCTAAGGAATCCAGCAGACAAGTTGAATCTTGGCTTCGTTGCAGTCTCCCATCCTGAGCAAGCACAGTGGAGACAGTGGAAAGAAAAACTCCCTTTAACAGGAAGAAACCTCCAGCAGAACCAGACTCGGGACAAGCGGCCATCTGCTTTGACCGGCTGGTTGAGAGGACAGGAAGGAGAGACAGACGAACACAGAATGGTAGGTCCAGGTATAGGTCCAGGTCCAGATATAGGTCCAGGTCCAGATATAGGTCCAGGTGTATCTGAAAGACAAAAACATGTTAAGGATAGAAAAAATAGTTACAAATACAAAACAGGTTGAGCAGAGTAAGTAAAGACAGTAGCAGAGTGAAAAGTGTGGTCAGTTTGTCCTCCAGCAGTCTAAGTCTATAGCAACATAACTAAGGGACAGCTCAGGAAACCCAAGCCGACTCTAACTATAGGATTTATCAAAAAGGTAAGTCTTAAGTCTAGTTTTAAAACTGGATAATGTGTCAGCCTCACGGACAGAGATTGGAAGTTGGTTCCACAAGAGAGGAGCCTGATAACTGAAAGATCTTCCTCCCATTCTGTTTTTGTAAATTCTAGGAACCACAAGTAAACCTGCAGTCTGAGAGCGAAATGCTCTGTTAGGAAAATATGGAACAATAAGATCTGTAATATAAGATGGAGCTAGGTTGTTGAGAGCTTTGTAGGTTAGAAGTAAGATTTTGAATTATATTCTGGATTTGACAGGGAGCCAATGGAGAGAAACTAAAACTGGAGAAATATGATCTCTCCCAGTAACTCCAGTTAAGACTCTGGCAGCAGCATTTTGGATCAACTGAAGATGTTTTAAAGAAGTATTTGGACACCCAGATAATAAACCATTGCAATAGTCCAGTCTAGACGTGACAAATGCATGGACCAGTTTTTCTGCATCATCTTTAGATCAGATGTTTCTAATGTTAGTGATATTACGCAGGTGGAAGAAGGAGGTTCTAGTAACGTTTTTAATGTGGGGGATAAAAGACATGTCCTGATCAAAAATAACACCAAGATTTTTAACATTAGAGCTGGAGGACATGGTAATATGAGTTATAACATTTGACTTCAGTAAGTGACAAACATCTGTGACCTGTCACATCGCCATTATTTCCCCTGTTCACAGTTTTAATCACTTTTCAATAACCCTCTCTTGCAAGTTTGGATGCTTTATGCATGCGATGGAAAACCCGCCCAGGGCAATTGTCCAGTCAGGTGGGAAACACCAGCATCACCTCACGCCCCTCATGATGGTGGCCTTAAGGGGTCATTCAGCATCCCCCTGGGTGTCATCAATTTAAAATAAATCAACAAACAAACAAAAACAAAAGTTCTCCTCAGACAGAACCCTCTCTGTTTCTCTCTCTTTCTTCTGAGTAAAACCATCAAATCAACAAAAAGTAAGACAGAGTGGTGTTATTCACCTTCACTCAACAACATTTCAGTGTTATTTCCTCTTTAAGAGGTTAAAAAAATCAGTAGCATTTATTTTTATTTGCAAATCATAATATTAGGCCTCCATCTTTCTCCTGAGCCCTTCATGATGTCAACAGGTTTCCTCCTCACTCACATCTCTTGTCCGTCAGGGGATGGTGTGATGCTCCAGGTGTTTTTTACATCTGGATCAGAGGTGCCTGGCAGGTTGGGATTCTGTGAGGCTGGTATTTGTAGAGACAGCTTCCTGGTTTCAGTCCAAGTCCAGTTCAAAGGTTAATTTTTAATGTCTAAAAACGTATGTGGCAAAAGAACACACAAAGAAAATAATGACAGATATATTCATCTCTTATAAGCTGTTTCAAACAAAATGTCACTCATTTTAATTCATTATTTATCCATCCATCTTCTTTAGTGTTGTCTTGCAGATGTGTCTTTTCCTCTTTGTCCAGAAATTAATTTATTTAAGGTCCTGTTCCTGACTCTTCTAATGTGAAACTTTTTGAACTGTTGTCATTTAGTTGGGTTCTGTCTAAGTGACAATGCATCTTAAATATCCTTTAACCTCTTACTGCAGTTAATCTTGAACCTCTAGAAAATCCAGTCAACTTTCACAAATGAGCTTATTCTAGCTTCATTTATTCAGATTTTGATTTAGAACCGTTCTTGTAAAATTAGTCTTGAGCTGTTTCAATGTCTCATCTGAGAATGTTCAGATTATTGACAAGCTGGGTTATTGTTGTGTGGTCATCTTTCAGTAGCTTTTGTTCATAATCTGTGTGTGGTCCTGGACTGCAATAGATTGTACAATGTATATGAAGAGGTATGTGTAGATTAGCAGCTGCTCAGCTTTCTGCAGGAGATCCATCACTACAGCTCTGGGCCCTGACTCAGTCAGTTCCACACAGGGATGATATCTGGATTCACCACTTCTATCACTTTCTGCTCTGCGGCTCTGCAACTTCCAGACACTTCTTTACATCCTCCAAACCAAGTCTGTTCATGTGTTCCTCATCACTTCCACACTTGGTTTGTATTTGAACATCAACTTTTTACATGAATCAACTTCTACGTTTTTCTGATCCTCTAAAAAAACAAATTTAACACCACCTTCCACTTTTTTAATTTACTGATTATTACCCATCCTGCTAATTTGGCTGAAGTTCCCCAACTGTTCCTCTGAACCCTATATTTATTTATTTGTGCAATTTCAACAAATCATCTCTCAAAACATTCAGCTCATTAAGAAAAGTGATTTTTTTTTTTTTTGGTACTTGCTACTTCAGCTTTCTAGGAATTGTTTTAGCCCTTTTCCCCTGTCAAGAACAACGTCCATGCTCAATAATCCAGGGATACAATCCAACATCTTTCAGTCAGCTCATCTGGACAGTTTATTTTTTTGTGCTGAAATGTTTTGCCTTTGATCCAGAAGGCTTCATCAGTCAAGGAAACACACAACAAAACTGATTCTTCCTCCAACAACTTACTCCAAAGTGGAACAAACCAGTTCTGCTTGTGATTAGATGGTCTCTTTGGTACGCCCCCTCCTCCATTGCTGGCCCTCTTCCTTGTTGACAGTCATGTCAAACTGGTTGAAAACAACAAAGTCCATGCTGAATAATCCAGGTATACAATCTAACATTTTTCAGTCAGCTCATCTGGACAGTTTATTTTTTTTTTTGTGCTGAAACGTTTCGCCTTCGATCCAGAAGGCTTTTCCCCCGTCCTTTTTGTTCCTCAATAGAAATTAATTTAGCCTCATTTATTCAATTCCTATCCGTTTATTTCTGTGATTTTATCAACTTTTTCTGTTCTTTAAGCAACTATTTAAATGTTTTTATGTTAATTTGAGCCCTTTTCAGTTGGTTTCACATTTATTCTGACTCATTTCAACCTTTTATTTTAGATAATTTCAGGAGAAATGTGTTCTCTTGGTAAATGTTGAATGGACAATATAGTAACAATATAGTCTTTTTATCTTATCAAGATACTCAGAGCTCCCATAATGCAATCTGTCCCTCATTCACCCATTCATACAGCATTCGTCTTTATAATCAATGCTCCATCACGTCACCGATGGGACGCACATGGGAGGCAACGAGGGGTTCAGTGTCTTGCTCAGGGACACTTCAGCATGTGACTGATGGTGGAATCGAACCCCCAACTCTTTCATTGGAGGACGATTGAACCACTCAGCCTCAGCTGCCCCTTCACTTGCTTTTCATTGTAAGGATGGTATCCCTCTGTCAGTCTCGCTGTGTCTGTACGCCCTAGTGTTTCTCAGTAATTACCCCGATCAGCTCCACCTACGTGTCCTCCAGGTGTTTGTCTCATCCAGTCTGTGTGTATATAAGCTCTGGTCTGTGTCTCAATCCTTGTCGGTGCATCGTCTGGTACAGCCCCTGGTTTGTCTCCTGTGTTCTGTGTATTATTCTGACCTGATCCTGTCTGAGTTTTGCTGCCACGTCAGCTATTTATTTTCATTATTAAAGTGATTATTATTTTTACGTCCTGGCCTCTGCGTCCTGTCTGCACATGGGTTTGTTCTTGTTCAGCTCAGCCTGAAAATCCTGACAGTATGCACCGACCAAAATCAAAACCCAGCAGACAGAATTCCTCAACCTCACTTACCTGTTCTCTTGAGCCCACGCAGATGGAGGAGATCGTGTTCCGGTGTGGCGGGCTCCAGATCCAACCCATGCCAGCACAAAGAAGTTACTGCCAGGAGGTGGAAATCCTGCCTTCTCCCCTCCTGGTCCTTGAAGGAGAGAGAAGGTCCCGGCTACGGGGAGACCGCGTGAACCACGATTACAGCTCCTCCTCATCCTCGGCTCCGTTCGGCTATTCGGGGTGGACGTCGGGAGAAGACGCAGAGCCGGAGGACGAGCTCTGCTCTATTCTTGCCCCTCAGCCTTCTCGCCGCCACCGGAGCGGCAGAAACCGAACCCGGAAGCGGTCCAAGACGCTCGCTCCGGCACCTTCCACGTTTCCGACTCGGCTCAGCAGAGCCGAGCTTCCAGAAGACATTCCTTGTGCGGCAGTGGAGACGGATTCTGTTGCCTCTCCTCCCAGGATTCCGGTGAGGGCAGAGTCTAACGCTTCTCCGTCGCTCCGGTCCGCTCCTGCTCGGTCCAGCGAGACTGAGCTAACAGAAACCAGTCCCGATGCCTCCGCGAGGGCGG